TTTTGATGAAAAGGGTAATTTTTGAGAAATGAATCAAAATTTGAAAATTTGAATGGCTAATATAATTTCAGTTAATAGTTAATAAAAAAGTAGAATTAAGATAAATTAATTTATAGGATAAGATATAAGATAAATTAATAATAAATTAAGAATAACGACTTATTAGTCATTAAACCTCGTGAAATTATATTAGCCATTCATCTGCATCAATTTTCCATCGTTATAATTTATAGACCAACCTGGTTTTTCCTCTAGGAGTACCAACGAGTATTACTCGTTCTGGCATTAAATACGAAATGTTCTGCAAAAAAGTAGGATAAAGTCTTAATGAATGCAGAATACATCTTCTATTCCACTAAAGCGCCCCACCTTCCGCAGTTTTTCACGTTATTAACAAAATATAAATATTAATAAAATATTCATTAATCAACAATCAAATGACCTTAGAGCAATTTCATCGTGCGAACTTAGATGAATTATTTCAATTCATCTACGCTACTGCATTTAAATTCGTAGCGACTAACCAAGTTTTTTGCCCCGAGGATAAATATAAAGGAGGTTAATGCACTTGGTTAAAGCCAATCGCAAAATACAACTTTTTTTGATTCTTAGCTTTTCCATTTTTATTTTTTAAGCAAATTTAATTTTTAATTTCCATTCCCAATTTTAAAATTCAAAAGCCATTTTGTTTTGAAATATCTCAAAATTTTTCGAAAATGAACTTGCTAAATGTCATTTTTTAAAAATATTTTATTAATTTTTAAAATATATTTTACGCTGTTTTTATTCAATTTCTCCTTTTTATTATTTGCTGTTGTCAAATGTTTGGTCAATTTTCATATCCTTAAAATTCATATTCTTCGTATTTTGAATTGAAGATTTGAATTTTGCCGTGGTGTATGCTAACCGCTTATTTAATCGTTTATTTCTGGACATCGCGAACTGCACATTTTTATTTTCATGGAAGAATCATCGCACTACTTCCATTTTCTTCATATTCCATTTCCTTCCTCCAATTTCTTTTAATGCATTTGGAAAGATGAAAAACAAGGCATCACTGCGAAAGAAATCTGAGTGTAAAGAATATAGTCAAAGTGATTCAGTTGTAATGCGAAATAATTAGGAGCCTTGTGAGGCCATTAAAGAGTCAATTCAAGAAGAACTATGCTATGTAGCGCGCTTATAAAGTGGTTGAGTGAGCTATTCTTCGAGTTAAAGTGCCCTTATAGGACCGAATTCTGAGCCTTTTGAATGGCAAAAGTGAAAGTCATGAAGCCTTAAAATCCTCCTCCTCCGCATTTTAATCCAAGTTCAACTGTCTAACGACTAACTTTCATAAGGGCCTACAGCTGCATCTAAATGTGGAATGAGTGCAAAAACATTGATTGATTATAGCACCTACTGGGTTAAGCACAACCTGCATCATTCAGTAAAACTGTTTATCCTCCATTCAATACATTTTTTTATTGTTTATCAATTCATTACAGATGATCAAAGAGTTGATTCAGCTGCATATCGCCAATCCACTATTTCTCTCCTTTTCCAATTCTGGAATAATTAGAAAAAAACAAACCATCGATATTGCCATTAACAATATTATTCAAGCAAAACTTCGACTATCCATTCTAAAATAAGTCCGCAATTTTTATTCAGCAAATTTGCTTTTATTATCCAACTTATTGATAAGTTTTATCGTTATTCGTCGTTTGAAATGAGATAATTGCTTAGTGATAAAAGTTTTGTCTAATTTTTACATTTCGTTTCTTTAAGCTCCATTTTTTGCAATTTTCAAATATTTTTGTACATTTTTTAGTACATTTAGTACATTTACAAATATTTTTAGTACATTTTTCTCTATAATTTCTTTCTTTGTACAATAAATTTTTTTTGAAATTTTTTCTCATTGTTTATTTTGTATTTCGAATTAATTAATAAAATTTTATTTTTATTATTGATTATAAAATTATTATAAGCGCTCGTTATTTATTTTACTTATTTATTTTGCAGAAATGCGATATTCGATGGAAAATCAAAAAAAAGCTTCGATTCTAAAAGTTCTTCGCATTTGGTTTTCCATTTCCTTTTGTAACCATGCTTATCGCTTTATCATTTAACTGCGGACAACTATTGTCACTTGGCTTAGTTTGCAAGATTATTGCTTCTAACAATATCTGGAAGAGCAGTTAAAATGTTGCATAAAATGAGCTTTCTTATGAAGCCAGGCGATCGTTATTCTTGGACCTTTTAACAATTTGTATTTCATTATAAATGGTTCGATTTCGATTTTAATTTAACTAAAATTTTCAACTTAAAAATTTAATTTTGTTATAATTGCAAAATTTTGCTAATTTTTTCATTTATATTTATATTTGATAAATACGCATTTCACCGATTTGGTCAAAAAATCAAAAATTTTCTACAATAATGCAAAATGCTCAATTTTATAAAATATTAGTAATTTCCTAACTTTCATTAAATTTATATTTCGAATTAATTAATAATATTTTATTTTTATTGATTATAAAATTATTAAATCTTGCGCCACTTTGATGACTCCTTTACAAATTGCAATTCGATATCGAATATTTTGGTATAAAAAATATAACGAGAAATTAGAAAGCTTAATGGAAAACATTAAATTAACAATTTCTTTTTTGCTTGAACCTCACTGGTTCTTCTTCTTCTAATAGCTCTCATTATGTTTAGGCTGACTCCCTTGGTTACGAGGATACGAGGGTGTCTCTTTGGTCCAACGCCACCTCTGAAGCCATTCCTTTTTCCATTGCCTAAAGTCCAAATATCGCTGTTTTTCTATATATTGTATGATCTACGGTTTATTCCATTGCGCTTTTCATTAAAATCGTTTTTTCCATGTTAGATTTATTCGTCGTGATTTGTGACCCCTTCTATGACCCCTGTTATGTCCAATTAACTAAATCCCTTGTTAAATTGCACAGCCGGCTGATTGTTGCGACAAAATTAATTGTAATTAATAATTAGAAAATTAATGGAACATTTGTATCAATTTTTTGATTTCTGTATATGGAACCTTAGTACCATTTGCATGAAGCACAGTGTGAAAATATTATCTAAAAAACATTTAACATGTTCCACCACACGTGACAGGGCATTGCTGCTTCAGGGTTGTCGAGAAATTCGCGGAATTACATAAGTGAGCAATTTGTGCGCAGTTCGGTCTGTCGACACATCTTTTCGGCGTTGAACTGGTCGTATTCGCTAAAAATATTGTATATATTATTTCGATTCGTTATTTTGTAAATTTTAAGTCATTCATTTAGAGAAGTTTCCAGATAACCTAAAATTAGATAAAAGTAGAGAAAAATATTAAATAACCTCCGGTGATGCAATTTCTCAAATTGCATGTGCCCTGGCAATTTTGCTGCATTAGCGGGTCAGTGCAATTCTTTATTGTTATTAAAATGTGGCAGATATCGACGAGATCTGGGCACCTTCCCAGGGCACCTGGTCGATCACAAAATCCGCATGTTCTTGGACAACTGCGAAGTGCAATTTCTTGCAAGTTTCCGTTGCACATTGCGTGGTTAAAGTTCTTGCAGACCGCTTCATTTGCTGTAAACGACCGTTTATTTCATTAATTTTCTTATTTTGATGTGTCTTTAACTGTGAAAAAGTTTGATATATTTTATGAAGTATGAAGAAAAATTATATTAATAAAATTGACGCTGATTCAAAGAAATAAATAGTAAATGAATAGCAGCAAGTTTAATAATTTTTTAAACCAACTGTCGTTGCACGCGAATTGCTTCGTCAAACAGCACATCGCACAAGTCGTTGGACATCTTGAAATCGCCAATTGTTTGAGCGCTGGTTTTTGGCAGTCTTCGTGAATTTTGTAATCTTCGTTACTAAATTACTTGTCTTCATTGCAGATTTTCAAATTATATAATTTGTATGATATCGTCGTAAATTATATTCCAAATTTTCACATCAATCAACAATTCCATTCAATAATTTTGCAACCATAGCCTTGACTTACTATTTCTTTGGCTTTTCAACACGATTCGATTTGATAAAAATTTGATAAAAATTAAGGAATTACATAATATCTGGAAATACAAATTCTGCGATCCTAAAGTTGGCTTTTGGCTTTGATCAACGGTTTTTAACGAAGTCGATGATAAAAAGGGTGAGGAATTGGTGATTAATAGACGACTTATGTATAAACTTCAAATAATGAATAGCAATAATTCCTTTTTCCATGGAATTCCTTTAATTGAAGTTTATCCACAAAAAAACTTATTATAATAAAACGAAATGATTAGGAAATAGGAGTTCCTCCCGATTTTTAAGCGACTTTATTGTACTTTACCCTATTAAGCGATTATTTGAGACTTATTACTTGTGAATTAAAATTAATGCATAGGAATAGACAGCCATGGATAGTAAAAAAGGAAAGATAGGCTAGGCACAATTGAATAAAACTATTGGCTTAACTATCGAATAAAACATCTATCTGGCCAGTAAAAGAGAAAGATATTAAGAAGATAGAATATTACGAAGATCAGTCTGTGACCACTCATGTCTCAGAGACACTTTACGAATCCGACGAGCAGATGCAATCGACCTAATTGCATCCATCTTCGCTCAAATACCACCTGTATTAATAATTTCATCAGAGAACGTCGAAAAAATCCATTGTAAACAAAGATGAAATAGGAAATCCAAAATGACTGTATCGGAACGCCGGTGTGCAAAGCGTCCTACCACATAAATTACTGCGACCAACTATATTTTAAAAATCCTTATCATAATAACGAATCTCTTTACTTTTGTTGCCAAGTGACTTCTTGATAAGATTCGTCCGACCAAACATGGAAACCAGTGGCGGTGACCTAATCAGAAATGGTGTGTTCTTTTAGAAAAAAGTACAATACGAATGGCAAAAGAGGAGCTGGAATTTATCGAAAAAAAATTAATATACTTTATTATTAAGACTTTTAATGAATTTTTTAAAATTCTTACTCCATTAAATTGTTTTGAATTGTATTCGCATCCAGTGGGAATAATGCGAAACAAAGACTTGCATCGGTATCATGGCAAGCATTCGGCGGAATCGATGGCTTTTTTTTGTCAGCATTTTGAACTGACACCAACTTAAAACAATCAGCAATCGGATTGTAATTCGCCGCATCGACAGATGAAAGAAAAAAAAAGGTGAGAACTACGAGAACAATCCGAGCGGTCCACATTTTCACCATAAAATAACACTGATCATTTGCAAAACAACCTTTAATACCGTAGGAAATCAAAAAACGCTGAGCATATTTGGTAACACAAAGGCAAAAAAAACTTGTGGTTAAAAATAAAACCATAGAATTTTATCAAATTTATTCATCTGTTTTTTGCCATATTTATTCAATTTTTCACCATAAAATATTCCATAATCGTTTTTTACTATGTAAAAAGTTTTTAAAACAAATTATATTAAGTAATTCAGAGTTTTCTATAATTCTGCAGTTTTTTTTCTTCCGTTATTCTAATAAATATTCAATTTTTTAAATAAAAGTTTAAATTTTCATAATAAATAGAGATGACAGAATAATTCTTCCTCTTCTCATTACTGGTCAGGCTCGATCCACTGGCTACAAGGGTAAGACGACTCCAAACTGCACGGTCCAACACGGTCCAACGCCATTGCTAGTAGTAATAGAAGCCATTACTTTTTCCATCGTCTAAATACATATATTACTGATCCATCTATATGTTCAAAATTTTTCCTAGCTGTATCAGTCCAGGTCTTAACTGGCTCTCCTCGCTTTTGACGCTAAATATCACAGGGTTTAGCAAATAACGAAATATGCGTCAACTCCTGTGGTTTAGCAAATAACGAAATATGCGTCAGCTCCTCGACGGAGAACCAGCGAACGCAATGCTCTATGGTAATATTAGATAATATTATTAATACAGGCGGTATTTAAATGAAGATAAATACAATCATGTGCGATTTTATCCGTCTGCCGGATCCGTAATGTATCGTAGACACATAAATATCTTCCACTCATTGGTCATATTTCGCAGTCATATAGTAGAATCGGGCGAATTTTCGTCTTTATGGTGATTTGGTTCCATAAAGATTTCATCAATAGAAAAAGCATATTTCTAGCGGCCATTATGTCGGGTTAAAATTTCATCCTCTGCCTGACCATTTAGGATTAGACTGGATCAAAGGTATTTAAAGTCAAGCACTCCCTCAACCTGTAATGAATTGATAAAAATAGTCATTTCATCAGCATTTCAAGCGGAATAATTAAGTATTGATTTATAAATATTTCTGTAAAATCTGCCTTCTCTAATTATCTGTTTTTGACAATGAAATTAAAAAAAACAATTTTAAAATTGGAAGAAATTATTTTTTTTGCCTTTTTTAATCCTTTCTTCAATTCTTATATATTTCATTAGAATTTTCAGTTTCATTTTAGATTTCTGCTTCGTATAATAAAAAAAATCTTTAATCTTAAAAAACTGAGAAAACAAAAGAATTATCAAAATCAAGAATTGTGATTTCGAGAGAAAAATGAGCTTAGAATTAACCTTAGAGCTTAAACAATCAGAAACCTACTAACTTCCGGCTTACATTCGATTCAGAAGGAAGTACTGCGATATGTGCAGTATTCATCAGTTTGTATGCTTCAAATGCAAAACAAAGATTAGTTTTATGCTTCAGCTATTGCTAATATCTCTCCTGGAAGCAGTCATAATTGGTAGAATGCGCGCCATAATGCTATCAAGATCAACTTTTATTAAATATGCATCTAAACCATGTGCATCCATAGGTGACGCCTTTTCTGCTTTGCTGAAGAAAATGTCTTCCTGCTTGCAGCATGTGCTTCAGGCATCGGAGACATCGAATACGAGAGTAGTAACATTGAATTCTTCGGATAATTAACATTCCAAACAGACTGGTTATGTTTTGTTTAATTATCAAACCAAGGTCTGCAACTAACGACGCTCAACAGACAGCATCCCCCAGAAGTTTTCTCAATTATCTCAATATTTTGGCATTTCTCGAGTAAAAAAATTCAAGGATATTAGGTGTATTTCAAATCGAATTAGAGAAATACCTCAAAGTCAATATGTCAAGGAATTCTCTGAAACTGCTGCTAAATACTCGTTCAACTAAATACCTACTACGATCTGTCGCTAGAGAATGCACTAGTTGGTAGCGAAAGTAACCATCCACCTATCAGAAAAGAATGCCAAAATATATCAGGAGATCCTGGCTATCAGAATCTTCAAATTGATTATGCAAAAAAAGCGAAAAATACTTTTATATTTTATATTCTCTATAGGTCCTCACTTCTGATGAGAAAATTCTTTTTTATAACAAACGGCGATTTGGCTTGCAAATATGAATTATTCTTACAGATCTTTTAATACTTCTCTTAGCGATAAAATAACGATCGCTTCGTCTCACTGCAATGCCTGCAGGTTTGATTTTGAAGAAAATATCAAATTGCGGTTTTACATCTAATATTAGTCTTGCAAGCCAGGTCAAGTGACTAAAGTTGCTGGTATCATAACTGAAGTTGCAATAGTCTATGATATATGATCTACTTTTCACAAGATATATCTCCTGATGGGAAAAAAGGAATGAGTGGTATAATTAGCGAATGTGATTACTGTAATTTAACTATAATTTGTGGCAATCGAGGTTCCATGCTACTTAATGCATTTGCAAAGATTTCCACTTCTCTTTAGCTAAAATAATTTTAAAATAATTTAAAATAATTTTACAAAATATTTTTCGGCAAATTCGCCAAATCATTCTTATTCGCATGTCGACAGATTGGTAAATTTAGTTACCACAAATTACAAAAAAATCGAATAAATACCAAAAACAAAGAATTTATTTGATCTACGAAACTAAAAATTGCATTCTTATTTAGTAAAACTATAATAAAAGATGAAAACAAGTAAAAAGCACAATTAATAAATCAACGAGAAATTGCATAAATCTACTTTTTCAATAAAATAATTATTTACTTATAAATAATTTTAACTTATTTTTATATAAAAAAGCTTTTGATGTTATATGAAAAGAGCTAAAATTTGCTATATTTTACAAGAAAAGTTTTATTTTCGGATTTATTTTTGAATGGGTCGACGAAGTTTTCTCCGAATAATATTATTGATGACATCTTTGGAGTTTGTTTCCAGTTATTCCATAACTGAAAAAAAGGAGGAACAGCTGAATTAACTGACACAATAAAACAACAAATAAATTTGGAGTGAAGGATAAGATTTGCAGCTTCATTGAATAATGCATATTTTCGCTAATTTTCTTCAGCTTTTGCGCAAGAGATTTATCCGCAAAATGTTCTAATTCGATCAATGTTTTATGGAGGCTCCAGGTCAAGCTCAAGATGCTAATGCCCATCGCCACTTGCGCAATTTTACAGCGTTTGTTCTCAGCATTTTGTTTCTCCAGCTGCTAATGCACCAACTAATGCAAATCCGTAAGTTGGTTTCGATTCAATTTTTTACCTTTTTTATTTTCATTTCATTTTAATGGATATTAGTTAATATTAGTTATTTTTATTTTTTTTGTAAAATGATTATAAAATGATGAATTACACGAAATTAAACGGAAATTGCTAGAATGCTGCTCTTAGAGCGCAAACTATAGGATTGTATCCTCGTTCCTGCATTTTGTTATTAACACCACAGTATGACTGCATGAATGGTATTTTCTTTGGAAAAAATGCTTTAGAATGTAATAGGGTAGGTCATTTTGATCATAATAAGTAATAATGTAATTATAGAGAACGATGAAAGCTACAATTAAGCTGTTCCTTATGATGCCTAATTTTGTACAAATCCAAATATTTCGGCAATAGCATTAGCAAAATGTCCTCGGAACTGTGGATTATGCAACCAACCTGGTGCAGGCGACCGTTGCTCAGGTACTTCTCAAAATTGCGCTGCGATATGGCTCTTGCTAACTGCAACTTCACTATTATACAGCGAGATTGCATGGGAACGTGCAACATTACATACCATGCAGTTTATACAATTTTTTCAAAAATGAATTGAATTCTTTCGTTTTTTTCTCTATCTTTTTTTAAATTTTCACTTCCATTTTCCACTTCCGTTTCAATCACTAAATTTTCGCCTATTTGATTTTTTTTTGATTTTTCCTTTACTTTTTTGTCTTTTATTGTTAAATTCTTAATTTTTTAAGCATTTTTTCAAATAAAATTATCAAATAGAATTATATAAAATTATAATAAATAAAATAAACAAATTATAAATAAAAATTATATAAATTATTATATTTTTCTATTTTTATGTAGTAATTTAACTGATTTTACTAAAACTGATGAAATGATGAAATGAAAAAAATTATAATTTGATATAAATGCTATCGACCAAAATTCAAAGTGCGTGATACTGGCGAAAAATTTCTACTAACTGGAACAATGGAACTATGTGAGAAAAGAGGACAATAACTTTTGCAATAATGGAAACAATTACTCTATTTCATGCGAATAGCGATAAATCTTCTGATAAAATAAAAAAGATCTGTGGAAAAAAAATTTTATTTTTCAACTTATTTTGGAATGAATAGGCGAAGAAGTGTTTGCATAGAAGTGGGTGATAATAATGGTAATACAGCTGAATCAACTGATAATCTCTATAATCATCTGTACTGATAAACAGCAAATAAATATGCCGAGTGGAGGATAAAATCATTTTTAAACAAGATTCAAATGGTGTACGCCGTGCTGCTTTTTCTATGTCTTGTAAAAACGACTTGTTCATTAGCAGTAGATATTAATGAGTGTTTTGTGGAGAAAGCAGGGGCGAATCAAATGAATGTGAAGCGTCCATCGCCACTTGCGCAATCGTGCAGAAATAATAACAATGCTTTTTGTGCTGCACTTTTTGATGTTACGGAGGCAAATGATCTGCAAAATAATGCAAACCCGTAAGTGGATTTCGACCTAATTACTTATCTGTTTCACTTTAAAGAACCAATATTATAACGATTGCAGAATGATGGGTTATAAGGTTCACGAAAATTGTGAAAAAGCTGCCCTTAAAGCGGAAGCCATAAGAACGTGCCCTCGTTCCTGCGCATTTTGTTGCTTAACACCGCAGTATAACTGCACGAATGGTATTTTCTTTGGAAATAATTCTTTAGAAATTCGAATTTACAGCAGTTTACAATTAATAAATAATGTAATCTCAAATTGTATTACAGAGAGCGAAGAAAACTGCAATCTGTTCCTTACGATGCCTCAATTTTGCACAAATCCAAACATTTCATCAGTAGCATTAGCAAAGTGTCCTCGGAATTGCGGATTATGCAATCAACCTGGTGCAGGCGGTCGTTGTCCAGACACTTCTCTGAATTGTGCCGTGCTAGTGGCTCTTGCAGGCTGCAATGATACAAATATACAACGCACTTGCATGGGAACATGCAACATTAGAACCTGCTTATGTAAGTTTTAATCAGCTTTTCAACTGAAGATATTTTCATTATAATAGGCTTAATTAATTATAAATTTATTTTGATTTGGTTCTTTAGCTGCACTATGCGCGCTTACCGTTTCCACTTCCTTGGCTGACTAGAAAAATTTTGCCAAAGAGCGATATGGTAGTGCATTGCTAAGTAAACTAAGTAAATTCATAAATTCATATTCAAATATGAATTTAAAGCATTATTTTGACAAATTTATACATACGTAATTTATACATATCAATTATACATATAATTAATTTATACATCCGTTCGATCCGTTTAAATTCAGCGACAACAGGAGGACCACCTGTTCCAACGTGTGCTGACGGCCGAGCAAATTGTGCACAAGTGCAGCAATATTGCACTGTGGAACCATTCGCGGGAACATTGAGAGAACAGTGCAGAAAAACATGTCGCATATGTACATAAAAACTTGGCCAATCTTAGCTTTTTATATGGCAAAGTTTTACCATAAAAATAAACAAAAAAATTAAATTCTTTCATTTTTTTATTGCCTTTTCCATTTATTAATTTTTCCAAATTTTAATTTCCAGTAATTCTTTTTTTTGTGCTTTTTGCTTCACTTTTTTCATTTGCTAATATTCTTCCGATTTATCTCAGTTTTCTTCACATTATTTGACATAAAATTATTCCATAAGTATTTTGGTCATTCAGAAATTTAAATAATTATTTAATAATTTAAATAATTATTCTTGAAATCAAACTTTTATTGAAATAAAAGTGAAATTGAAAATATTTCAATTTGCTTGCGACCAAAATTTAAAATTACATTTGATGTGAACAGAAATTCATTTCCAAATTTTCCAGTTTAAGATGATATATTTTATAATAATAATGATAATTATCACTATAATTTATTATTATTATCATTATTATTTATTATTATTATAACGAACTTTTTTTAGTTCCTATTGGTTTGGTGAATAATTTGCCTTTTTTTTTTAACAAAAAGGGCAATTTAATGCCAAGATAGGGTTAGCTCAATCCTAGCAAATGCGATCTCCACTTATTATCAGCAGCTTTTCTAGTAATATGTACGAATAAGACCGAAAGCTTACGTGTTCGATTTCGAAAAAGAAATCCAGCTCTTCTAAATATAGAATAATCTTCTAGTAAAGGAAGCCAAGTAATAAAACTTATCAAAATATCAAAAGTGAAGTTGCGATAATCTCCAACATAGGAAATTTTCATTTCTCTTCAAATGTCAACAACTGTGCAAAAAAATTCTCGGCCTTCCTCAAATCGTTTTTCTACATCGACAGACTGGTTAAGTACGGCAAACGCGCTTCGCACAAACCGCAAAAAAATTGCATAAATGCAAAACAGAAAGAATTTTCGTGTTCGAAGCCTTTTTTTTAAATTTTTAATCACATTTCTTTTTTGCAAAACGAATTAACGCTTTTAGAAATTTTGCGATCATTGAAATCAAAATTTTATTAAATAATTCGAACTGATTTAAATTATAAATAAATTAAATAAATAGCGAGAAAAAAATTTTGTAAATTCAAAAAAAATTATGGAAAAATTAGACGAAAAAATTTTCTTAAACATTTGTGAGCAAAAATAATTGTTAAAATTTAAGAGAAATGAAAAAAAATCACTGAAATAAAAAATTAAAAATTTAAAATAAAAAAAAATTAAATCGATTAAACGAAACTACAATAAAAGAAAAAGGAAAAATAAGCACAAGCAAAAATAAATGAGAACTATATTTAAATAAACTATGAGAAAATATATTATTCCGCTTTTTAATTATATATTTAGCAGCAATAATTAATAGCTAATAAATTCTGTTTAAAATGAGCTTTTGACGTTAAATGAAAATTGCTAAAATTTTATTATTTTTTCTGAGAAATTAATAAATATATTATCCGGCGCTGATAAAAAGTGATATGGTGATATCTATTATTTATAGCTCCATAAATGGTACGTGTATTTTATACTTTCATAAATTTTCGAAAATTCGAATTGAAAAGTCAGTTTGAAATTTATAAATATAATAATGCAATCATAAATTATATTAAATTGATAATGGGTTTTAACTAAATTGATAATTGATAGAGGGATTTTTATGTTCATAGTTTTTATTCCATAATTTCTTCTTGCATTTTTAGTATAAAATGCAATATTATTTATTGTTCAATGCATGTTGCAATGGTCAGAGTGAATGGGATTCCACTCATTCGATTTGCATATTATCCATCCTGTGGAATGCAATCTGTTGATAAAAATGTTCATAACTGAATTCCCATTTTCCTCCCTCACTTTAGCGATGCTTTAATAATTCAGATTGTAAAATACACGTAGTCAAAATTATAATAAAAAATTTTCCATTTGGCCAAATTTTTTGTGTATTATTTCGGAATTTGAAAGCGAATTCTCATAAATAAAAGCGATAAATTTTGTTGTTCAGTATTATTAAATTATTTTCAATTATTTATCGAATGCGTGAACAGTGCATATCGAATGAATATTTCATAATGATTTCTTACTAATTTTCTATGCCAATGCATAATTTTTATTTTACTTCATAATTGCTATTATTATCGTTATTATTAATAATAATGATAATATTGATAATAAATATCACTTTAATCACTTTAAACTGGCAATTTTTGGAATTTGGAAATTTGTCGGCACGAAACTAATTTTAAAAATTGGTTGATAGCTTGTAAATCAAATTGCCTCATTAATTTTAATGGTTTGATAATTTTACCCAAATACTTTTCGAATTTTCCACGAACAAATTTATTCAGAAAACGGAAAGAAAATAATTAACAAATGAAAAAGTTAACAGGAAAACCTATAAAAGGAACGTTATTGGAGATAAAAATAAAAGTGAGGCAAATTTTTCAGGAAAAATTTTGGTAAATTATTTTCTAGCAAAATTTTACCATATGAAAGGGGCGAATTGGCCAATTTTCTATGTATATATGTGATCTGTTCTTCTGAACTGTTCTCTTAATGCTCCAGCGAATAGTTCCACAGTGCAATATTGCTGCACTTGTGCACAATTTGCTCGGTCGTCTGAGCATATCGGAATAGGTGATCTTCTTGTCGTAGCTGAATTTAAACAGATTAATTGGTAGTATATAAGTGTAGCTTAAGTTTGGCTTAATAAATCCTAAATGATAGTTCATAATAATATAGCACAGTAAGGCTGACGACTCATCTCTACCTTAATGACTCTTTGGCAAAATTTGTCTAGCATAGCTGGACTTAACAAGAATTGCTAAGCAAAGTTAGAAGAAAAATAAAGCACATACGAAGAATCAAGGAAAATTATTCAAATGGAAATATTTTCAGTGAAAATTTGATAAGAATTTAATAAACAGGTTCTTAGGTTGCATATTCCCATGCTGTTCTGTTGCATGTTTTGGTCATTGAAGCCAGCGAGTGCCACTAGCAAGGTACAATTTTGCAAAATGTCTGGATAACGACCGGCTGCACTAGGCTGCATAATCCGCAGTTTCGAGGGCACCTTGCTAATGCATTGCCGAAATATTTGGATTTGTGTACAGTTGAGGCCTTATTGTAAGAAATAAGGTTACAGCTTGCATAGTTCTCTGTAATTTAATTTGAAATTGCATTATTATTAGCAAACTTTTCAACTCCCGACTTTTAAATATTCATTTCTAAAGAAAGTACCATTCGTGCAGTTATACTGTGGTGTTAAACAACAAAATGCGCAAGAACGAGGACATGTTCTTATGGCTTCTTGCTTAAGATTAGCATTTTGACAACTTTCTTTGACCTTATAGGTTGTCATTCTGCAATGAGATTAATCATTTAACCAGTAAAATGAAAAAGGCAAAAAATTCAGCTCAAATATATACTTACGGATTTGCATTAGCTTGCAAATCCAAAAGATCAAAAACAGCAGTACAAAAAGCTTCGTTATTATTTCTGCATGCGTGCGCAAGTGGCGAGGGACATTGCACATTAGCAGCCTGAGCCTGGCCTGGAACACCTCCGCCCGCAGGTTGACCTGGAACCTGCACAAGCATTCGTTAATTTTTATACTTCCTAAACTAATCGTTTTTACAAGGGTTTGAAGAAATAGCAGCATGGCGCACCTCATTTGATGGTTCATTAATACTATTGATAATGATAAAACTTATAAGACCTATGCTTGTTTGCCACAAAAGAATTTTTAGCAAATTTTAGAGCATTTCATTTAACATCGAGAATTTACTTATGTATAATTAATTAGCAACTAATTATCGCCGCTTTATTGAATATTCTATTGAAAAAGCAAATTAATGGAATTTGATTGTTTAAGTATAGTTACTTATCAATTGGCAAATATGGCATCGGAGGGCGCTGTACCAATGGGAAATGAGGATCCACATAAAACTGGCTACTCACAAGAAAAAAGTTCTCTAAGATCTTTCAACAATCTCAAACTAAGAAAAATCCACAGTGAGTGCATTTCAAACCGAATTTTTGGAATACCTCAACGGCATAAATATTAATGGCTTTTCTGGAACGGCGAATGAAACTAGTCGCAAATAAAAATATCTCCAAAAATTAGCAACTTTTTTCCTAAAGTATACTAGTACCTGAGAAGTCCCTAATTTTTAAAATTTTTTAAAATCAATTATTTAATTTTTATTTTTATCAATTAATTTATTAATTTTAATATTAATTTTAAAATTATTTTTAAATTTTTCAAAAATTTAAAAAATTTAAAATTTAATTTGAATTTTTTAAATTAAATTTTTAAATTTTTTATTAAATTTTAATAAACATTATATAAATATTATTAATAAATTTTTAAAAAATTTAAAAAATTAGTTTTTTAAAATTATTTTTCTCAGATAATAATTATGAAATTTCTATAAGCGGTCGTAATTTATTTTGCGGAAAAATAAATGCGATTTTTAATAAATTATCAAAAAAAGGTTTCGATTACAAAAATTCTTTGTGTTTTGAATTTATTTAATTTTTTAATTCTTTGTGGTAACCTTTTTTTTTAGCTCATTTAACAAATCTGTCAATATGCAAACAAAAACGATTCAGCAAATTAACGAAAACAACCGAGAAATATGCTTTGAATAGTTTTTTTTTATGTTTTTTTTCAATTAAAGGAGGGAACAAAGAAATCTTTCCAAATGGTTAAAGCAGGAAGAAACCTCGATTTCCACGAATTTCAGTTATCAATTGTCCTTGGACATGAATAGTTTTGTGAGCGAACTTTCTTTATTAATTATATAATCCATTTACATTAAGCATAACATTTTTCATAACATTTAAGACAAGAATCGGCTCAAAAGCTTCAGGCACTAACTTAATTAAGATATCTGCAACTTCAGTTA